GGGGCCCCCGGGGGGCCCCCCGGGGGCCCCCGGGGGGGCCCCTCTAGATGGCCCCACAAGATTCGAAGACAGCGAATGTTATCATCCATTTCCTAAAGACATTAAAAAGAAAGGGTTTGAATATTTGTCTTTATTTATTTATTTATATTTTAGCTAATTAATTAAATTAATTAATTAGATTAATTAATTAATTAATTAATGAAATTAATTAATTAATTAATTAAATTTATTTCATTTAATTGCTTTTACCCGCAAGAGATATGCAGAGAGACGGGAGGCCCAGAGACTGTCCTCTCGTTGCAGCTGCGCCACGTGCTGCAGCAGCAAACCCCAAACCCTAAACCCTAAACCCTAAACCCTAGACACTAGTGAAACGGAATTAAGAAGACAACTGGATAAAAAGAAGTGCAGCAAATGAAGACAGGCCACAAACAAATAAAAATCAAAAAAAGAGAAGTAGAAAAGAAAAAAATAAAAAAAGAAAAAAGGAAACAAAAAAGGAAAACAAAAGAGGGAAATAAATGGAAAGAGGAAAAATAAAAAGAGACAAAAAAGAAAAAAAGATGGAGAAGATAAAAGAGGCAAAAAAGAAAAAGAAAAATAAATAAGAGGATGGAAAAGATCAAAAAAGAAAAAAGATACAAATAAAATAAAATTAAAATTAATAAAATAAAATAAACAAAATTAAAATAAAATAAAAAACAAACACATAAAACTGAAAGCTGCGCAGACACCCCGTGCAGTCTGAAAAAGCGGAAAACCAAAAAACCCATCAAATTAAACCCCTCGAATTAATTAAATTAAATAAATTAAATTGAATTAAATTAAATTAATTAATTAAATTAATTAATTAAATTAAATGAATTAATCAAATTAAATCAGTTAATTTAATTACCAGCGCTATGTCTCGGTTTCGCCGCATCAGCATAGCGCCCTGGTAAAGAGGACTGCTGAAGTCGGGAGAGTCAACTCGAAATTCCTGAAGTTAAAATAAATAAATAAATAAATAAATAAATAAATAAATAAATAAATTAATTAATTAAAACAAATGAATAAATAAGTAAAGTGAATAAATTCCGGAGAAAGAACTGAATTGCTCGAGCCGCTTTTGATGGGGTTTCAAGCAGGTCCCGTGCAGCAGCGGCCACTAAACCCTAAACCCTAAACCCCAAACCCTAAACCCCAAACCCTAAACCCTAAACCCTAACTCAGCGATGTTCAGCGGCAGCTGCACTCCTCCCACAGCAGCGTCAGCGGCTCCCCAACCCTCAAACCTAAACCCTGAAAACGCTAACCCCAAACCCTAAACCCTAAACCCTAAACCCCAAACCCTAGACCCTAAACCCTTAACTCCAAACCCTACACCCTAAACCCTAAACCCTACAAGGGGGGTTTCCGTGGGAGCAGCCCTCGTGTGGGAACAAAGGCGGTGGCGGAGACAAAAGGCGTGAAAGGTAACATCATTGTTCTTCCGCTGAATGTTTATTTGGTCTGCAGCAGCAGCAGCAGCAGCAGCACAAGCAGCAGCAACAGCAGCATTAAACAAGAAGTACTAGAAAGCAAACAGAGCTGGCGCGAATGGAGCTCGTAGAGGTGGTCAAAATCCGGTGCTGAAAGCCAAACCCTATTTTAGGGTTTGCGGGCACGTGCGCAAACCCTAGAAAAGGGTTTTGGCGCGCGTTCGGTCGAAAAAGCGGGGGAAGCGGGCACCGCTTTTCCAGGGTGTGCGGGCGCGTGTGCAAACCCTAAAACGGGGTTTTGGG